AACCTTGCATTATTTAACATGCAGAGCATTTCAAAACTTGGTCCTTCTTTGATGGTAGTGATGTATTGCCTAATGTAGCCATGATTGCTCTAAATAAAAAAAATGAATTACTGGACATTCAGAGTCACGTGGAATTATCACAGAAATGAAATAAAACAATGAAACCTGTTTTAGTGACACCACAAAACTACAGATTGTAATTCAATGACCATGCTGTTCATTTAAAGCAAAACATTGTTAGACTTACTTAGCAATTTTAACTTACACATATTAAACCAAGTCCAAACAATGAAAACAGAAAAGCTCCTATTGACAAGATCATGAATTCTCTCTTACTGCACTCACTAATTCATAAAAAGCATATACATTTGGCTTATTTCAAATGATAGCACATTGTTTTGAAGTTACAGTGCAGCAAGCTTCAAAGCAGTTTTAACAAAACGTAGCGGTCTTTTTACAAACTAAAATTCAAGGAACAAATACAAAATCTCTACAGCAGCAATTAATGCAAACTGGCTACTAGATGTCACAAAATCAAAAAGCCAAAGAATAATGTCAAATAGTTTCTTTCCGTAAGATTTATCCAGTCATTTACCGAATTAACCATTACATTCATAAGAAATCCCATGAAGTATGTGTTTCAGGAATGTGCTGCTCCTCGTAGTCTTTATGGGCACCTCCCCTTTTTCATTTATTAGGAGAACTACCCTTCTAAAGACTGCAGTGAATTGCCAGTTATTTTGTAACGATTGTTCTATATGAAATACATAGAAGTATGAGCAAAGCTGGGAGGAGGTTTTAATAGAAACCCAAACAAACTAATCACGTTATTTGCTCTGAACTGTGTTCTCCTTGATGAAAAATTCCTTGTCAAGTCCCAACAGAGCTGTATCACGTAATTCTTCAGTCACTGTGGCAGAGAATAGGAACACGGCTACCGTGCCTGTTCAGCTTTGCTGTGTGGCACCATGCTCTAAAGATGTACTCACTAAATAATCACATGGTTTATTTTTGCAAAAGAAGTGATGAACACCTGCAAAACGCTCTCTCTTTTCCTCCTAATAAACATGTTTGAAAATACAACAGAAAGCCCTGCGAAAAAATCAGTAATGAAAACAACCCCTTTGCCTCAAGATGTTCTACTGAAGTATTCAGACCTTCCTTTTCATTTAATTTTGTGTGGGTTTTTGTGTTTGCTGGGAATATTCTAGAAGAAGTTATCCTACCTGAAAAAACAAACAAACAAAACCCAACCAAACAGAAAAAGGCAAAGCAGAACACAGCAGAGGGTACTTACATAGGCAACAAAAAGCCTGGGGTGTTTCTTATCCGAAGCAATGAAACATTACAGATCTTTTTATTTGCCTTCATTAGGAAGCAACGTGGAGGCAATGTGGCTGATCGTGATCCTTGCTGTGGCCAACGGTGAATTCAGGCTGTTTGGTCAATAAATCTGGTAATCGTCGGGAACAGCACTGCTCGGTGGAAGGGCTACGGCACGTGCAGACGGAGACACAGCATTAAGCAGTCTGTCATTCTTCCCATGACACGATCAGTGTCGTTCTCCTGCATCTCTGTCATGCAGCTATTAAGATGTGTCCTATTCAGGTATGTTCATAATTTTCATACGTGCCTTATCCCCAAACCTACTTAATATGATAATCAGTGTATCCACATGGGATTGGAAATCAGTCAGTTAAATATAAGGAAAGGTATGACTGCTTTGGTCTAATAATCTGTGTCAAACCCAGATGCCAAAACATATATAGAAACAGTAATATGTAAGCACAAGGACATTATGACTAGAGCTGAGCAAATTCTTCTTTGACAAAGAAAAAATTAATTGAAAAATAGATTTTCAGGTGGAGCAGACCTAAACCATTTCTATATAGGTCAAATTCAGGAAATGAAAAAACAACCAAACAATGCTTTATGTTTTCAAGGGTTTCCCTTCTCTGCCAATGTTCCAATCTTGCTTCTAAATAAATAATAATAAAAAGATTAGACCAGTTATAATCATGAATACTTAATCTGCACACTTTTTAAGCTGAAATCATAAACTAATGTAGGAAAGTTTTGTTTGCATCATTACAGTGGCTTCTTTTTAAACAAAAAAATCATCACCCATTAGTATACTGATCACACAGAATTACTAGCTCTGAGAAGAAAAGCAAAGCAAAACATGGACAGTAAGTGGGAGAGTGCATGAAGTCAGACCACAGCTAACCTACAAAGAGCTCCCAGATTTTGCTAGCTACAGAATTTTAACTATCAAACAAATATACACTTGTTTTCAGCGCAGGTTGGCAGTGGAATTACCTCTCCTGCCACTAAAACTACCCTATAAATATCACACATTCAACATCGCTTCTGCTAGATCTAGAGCCATTGAGAAGTTCAGTGCATTTAAGCCAGTCGAATCACAGCATTGTGCTGAGAAGATGGCACAAACGTCCCGTCCAGGTAAAAGGCCATCCCCAAACTGATTGTTCAATATTCAATGACAGCTCAGCTCTGGAGGACTCCCTTTTTTTTTTTAATCCATGTACCATGTCACCAGTGGTACAAAATATCACCCCCTTTGATCATATGATTCAGGTAATAGCTATCATTCACTGGGAATTGAACAGCGTCTACTACAGCTACCGACAGAGACAGATACTGCCAGCATTCATTAAATAGCAATTTGTATGAAAGAGAACAAAGTACCCCAAATGGGGGTCAGTGGGGAAAGTTTCTCACTGCGCTTACATTTTGAAAAGGAAGAGACCACTTCTGCCATTTATTTTTCTCCTCCTTCCACAATCTACATTTCCCTACCAGGAAACATCCTTTTCTACATTTTAATTCCTGAGATCGATGAGTGATTCACATGCAGACCAGGAGGAACACTTCTGTTTCCTTAGCGTCACCCTACACAGGACTGAGCAGCCCCACAATTCATTTGCTTTTTAAAGTGACTGATTTTGTTCACCCCTTCCCTAGACGATGGTAAAGCCCGGCAGCAGCTTTCTCTTAGCAGAGATCGTGCCGTTTGGGAAAGACGCGAGGCAGGAAAGAAAAAGAAGTCTCGTATTTCCTTTCCTTTACATTCAAGGTCTTACTTACACTCTTCTTCCAGTGAGGAAAAGACAGAATTCATTGGTTTTGCTTCTCAACTGGCTCAATTTAGCTGCTTTTTTTCAATCTTACACATGGAATACCATTGATGAACACCAATACAGACTTAAGAGATCACAAAAGGACGGGGGAGAGCTATTAAAATACATTATCTACAAGAAATAGGTGGTTTCTTTTACAAATTCTGTGCAAGATAGAAATAGTTCAATGGCCTCAAAGTCAGTATAATTAATTACAATTGGGGCTTCCATACAGTGGTATTTTAGGTTTGAAAAGTTTTGCGTTTGTTAGCTAGGCCCCAAATCCTGAGTCATATTAAGCAAAATGTGAATCTGAGTGATTGCTGTTGGTGTTCAAGTACAATGAGTTACAGGTCAAAGGTTGATGAATACACAGGAGAAGCCTGAGAGTAGGAAGGATTTTAAAATCGGCTATAAAAGAAGAAAACGGGAGGGTTTTTTTCCTGTCAACCCTGCATTCTAGTTGGCACTAATTTGCCTCAGAAGTCCTTGGCAGCTTTACTAAATACCTACTCCTAATTATGAATGCTATGACCTAGATGAAGATTTGTAGGTAGAATACTGCTACAGAAAGATTTATTTTCTTTTACAGGGTTCCCCTCAGACTATTTCATTGTATGTCAGTAAGATGCACCATATGGCTTGAAACACTACTTTAGGAATATATAAACGACGTTCTCTTGCATGCACTTCTCTGAAGGTTTTAAGGATCAAGTCTGAGTAAAGAAGTAATCTTTCCACACCAGTAAGATTATTTTAAGCAAAAAAACAACCAACAAACCACCATGACCTTTGTAGAAATTGAGTTACATCACTCTTGCAGTGGTAGACATGGCTTATCAGGAGGAAACATGCTGGGTTAATTTAAAGGTTTTTTTTCACTGGATCTGGAAGAGTGAGAGTTTCTGGAGCAGACTTTTTCCGAGGTCGGTCTTTGGGAACTGTTAGGAATTCAGGAGCATCTGTGGAGAGAGGAGTTGATGGAGCACTAGATGGAGCACTGCGGGTTGAAGAAGGCATGGAAATGTTAGAGATAGATATTGCAGGTGGGAAAATCCCAATCTTCTTGTTGGTAGCTTCCTGAGTTGCTCGTTCAAACTCTCGGACTTCATCCATTGTCATGTCTTCAACAAGAAGGAAAGAAAGATAAAGGCATGTTAGAATAATTTCAAATGATCATTTCATTAACTCAGTTAAACTACTTCCATCCAAATTCTAAATCAGGGAATGATTGCTTATCATGCATATCATTAAGTGATTCTCCACATGAATGCCTTCCTATTGTAATGCATTGACTGGAGTACAATAAGTGGCAAACGTTAAGAAAATGAAGTTAAATACATTAATCACATACTAACGGTTCTTCTTCTACCTGGGTCTGAAGTGAATAAAGAGTGCTACCTCTGTAATTGTTGGAAGAATCGAGATCTTTCACAGGCAATTAAAGAATACATTTAGATACACAGTTAGCAAGTAGAATTTTCCAGAACTCCAAACAAAATAAAACTAATAGGTTGCTGGGTTTTTTCCGATCTAAATTATGAGCATGAACGAGTAAAGGGTTGTCATCGGTTTGTTTGTCTCCTGTAATTACCAAGGGATGAAAAATTCTCCCTCCCCCCCATGCACAGCTTCTACTGACTCCTAGTTGCAGCTGCATGCACACAACTGAGGCCGTTTTGCTCTTCTGCTAATAAAGCCTAAAGAATTCCCTCTCACTTGATAAAGCCACAACACGCCTTCCAACTTTTCCATCCAGAATCTGTACTTAAACATTTATGGCCAACTGACAAATCCACTGCTTAATTCCCTGCAAAATAGAGGCAAAATGAGATGAGGGGTTAAAGCCACTTTGCAATGGAAAACCGGGTCCACAGAAAGCTTTAAAAGCACTGAAAGTCTTCTCACGCCGGTGACAAACATGTCACAGTGCTGTGGAAACCCACAAGAGGGCAGAGCGATCCCAGCATAGATGTGCTCCGAGCTGAGCCTTGCGAAACTTTTTTGGTGAAATCCCAAACGAACGACATCTGCTACAAACGGGTAAGTTGAGCAAAAAAAAGCAGCAAGACTTCTGAAACCTGCTGCTTCATGTCTACATTGCCTGCAAGATGTCCACTGAGCCAACTGAAATAAATTTTATGGTTTTTGCTGAACGTCGTGTTAAATTTGTAAATTTGAAATATTTCATTAAACCATTTTATAGATTCTTTGAGCTCTGAAAGCTCAAAAACCCAGAAATAAAAACACTAGCATTTTAATACATTTAAAATTCTCACACATTTGGGTGTCTGAGACATGGGACTGGCAACAGTGCTTACCATATGTATGACAAAATCCTATACTTCCAGTACATGGGTACTTTTTAATATTACCCAGCTGCATGCATCTGCAGCCTTGGCTGCACACGTTATGTAGAAGCAGCTTTATGTTGTATTACATCATCATATTAAATAAACAAAAGCATGCATGTTGCCAGCTGCCTTCTCTCTTCCCGGCAGACGACATTCCAGGGACCTTTTCAGCTTACATTGCTGTGCCAGTTATTAGGAGTGAGGACTAAGCTATTTCCAACTCTGAGATAAGTGGTAGAAATAAACAGATGGTCTCAGAGGAACTGTACCTACTTGTGTTGGAGATAGATCTGAACTTGTTTTGCTGATTTACATTTTGTTTCACACCCTGTAACAGTGCGTGTAGTGTTTCTGAATTCAAATGGTTTAAAAGCACCCTGACATCAAAGGGAGCCCATGCATTCATTTCAGCTATTGTTGTACAGGACTTCTGTACAACACGGAACAAAAGTTGTCTTGGATAAATGAAAGTGGAAGAGGACAGGAAGATTTCTCATTTTGCTGGCCATTTAAGTGAAGACTGATTAAAGTCTTACTAAGTGGTATCCTCCATGACTGTCCATTTTAATTTCAGACATGAAATCCTTACTGTCCCTTCAGCTGACTTTGGCTTTTTAGCTTACACTCCCTTTGAATTCAATTCTGTTCTGATACACGCTCAAGTAAAACCAGTCTTTATCCTGAGCTAAGAAGGCTCAGACTCTTTTTTTATCATTAATGACAAATTCTATTCTGACCTCAATGGCAATTTTCCACGTGGGAACTACGGATGGCAGACTTCATTCAAAGCCAAATCCTGAAGTGTAGAGCCAAAGTCAGAAGCGATTCTCAATTTACTGCTCAGCTAAGGAGTAAGCTTGACGTCAATGGAGCTGCAGCATTACGAACACGAGAATCACCTTCCTGGTTATTGCTTAGACAACATCTTCTCAGGCTGGTAACAATTTGCACTGCATAAGAACAAAGGAAAGTCTTCAAGCCCTTCAGGCCCTGCCCCACACTCGTTACAGGAGTAAAACCATCACTGAGTTCTACAGTGCAGTTAGTAGAAATAAAGGAATAATTAACACTTCAAAAGCAAATATCACTGCATCTTTTCTCTTTGCAGATAGTAGTAATTTCTAATTTTAGGCCTTTACTTGAGGTGCCCAAATTAGGAACTTAAATACTTCATGAAGTTTCCAGAATCTGAATCAAAGAACCTACACAGAAACCTGCCCTTCTCCACAAACTGCTGTTATATACTTCCGAAAATACTTCTCACCTTGTTGGTGGCTAATCAATGACAACATTAAAATCAGTTTCAAAAGAGTGAATAATTCATTAGCTTTTTTTTTTTCCTGGTGAAGCAAACAATTTTATCAGTCCCACGGAAATTTTCCACTCCCCATGTTCCTGGCTTTTTGACTGAAGCACTCTGAACTCCTGCATTTTTTAACTGTTCAACTAATAGAAAGTAAAACTGATATTTAACTTCCTCTTCATGCATCCAACTGAAATTTGAGAATGGTGTTTTCCTGGAAGACAGGGAGTTGTATATGAGCGCAACCCCACCCTTTCTTACATCAGTGGCAGTTTACAGTGCAAACGAAAGGCAGGATTGCACTTGATGGAGAAAGATTCTGTTCCTACTGAAGCAAAACCTCCCCAAAATTCCACTGACTGGTCAGCAAGATCAGTGCATTGCTCTTCTCTGATCTGTGCAGGCGTATTAGCTGAGGATGGGCAATATGTTTTTGAAAACGGACATACTCTTGCTTTGGCATGGCTCTCTATTTCATCCACAGTAGATGAATGTTGGTTGCAAACTTTAATGTTGGTTTTTTCATGCATATTTTTCTCGTATTCTCGAACATCATCCATAGTCATATCTGTAAAAAGTTCAAAATTGTTGGCATTTTCCACTGATTCAGTGCAAACTTAATTTTTTTTTTAAGGAGAAGGTTCTAGGAACACATAGTCTTTCAGCAGAAGCCAAAAAAGGATTTAAAAAAAAGCATGGAGCAACTAGCTTTATGGAAATTGACTCATAAAGGTAGTTATATCAGCCAAGGAAGGTGTAAGAAGGTTAAGTCAAAGGGAGTCAGAGAACAGGAAGGAGTGGAAATTGTTTAGGCGTATCTGTGTAACATAAGGTAGGCAAAAGTATTGAAGTGCAGGCCTTGGCAAAGGCCAAGATCTTCTAAAAAGATTTTAGAAGATCCCTTGGAATAAAGGATAGAAACAGAAGTATTATAAATATTTACTTACCTTTCCAGGAACTTTCAAAAAGATTTTATGTTATCTTTGCATAGTACATCTCTTAACCAGCAAACATTCTTACTGTTAGAGCACACATCAGCTTAGATTCCAGAAACTAACACTTAATTATACTGGTAAGTGAACTAATAGTGAATAAGTTAACAGTTCTGTAGCCTCAAGCAATTTAATGAATTGTAAGAATTAGAAATATTCCACAAATCAGGCTGATTCTACCAGCAGGATCATTTATCATTGTCTAGGCATGCCTCATGTTGTCAAACTAGTGCATAATCTGTTAGGTGCTTGCTATGTAACTCCAAACCATTATTACAGATTTTAAAAAGATTTGTCATAAACCACACTTTCAGTAAAACCATAAAGAATCCAGTTAATTGACTTGTGACCTTACTCTTCTGAGTATTCTCGTGATTTCAATAAATCTACTTGCGAGTAAGGTGTAAGTGAACATGAAGGCTGTCAGAATTTTGGTCTGTTCTTTACGACGGTTTGATAACTTCAGAGCTTCATGAAAATAGCCATCAACTTGTTACTCACAAAACTTAAATAGCATTTTACTAGCACAGTATACTTGCAAATGTGTACCACTTTTGGTAATGTACACGGTGTCTTTGTTCTTGAGGTTATAATTTTTCTCAGGTTTACTACGTGTCACTTGGATTTGCAAATTCTTCTATCACACCGCTCCTTGTTACGTGATATGAGGCTCTTGCTGCATTTTACGAGACAGCTTTTAAGGAAAGAGGTAACTTTAGCTGTTATATCAGTAGCACGATGTAATACCTCATCAGTGAAAATGAAACGCAGTCTAAAATTTTGATCAGAAGGAAACATGGAATACCACTAACTCATACTCTTTTAGCCTTTTCCTTTTACTGTTATGTGGAATGAAAAACAAGCTCATAAGCCATGTCAATAACATGCTAAGGATGCATTTTGCCAAGCAGGGAACATGCTCTTTATTAGTAAATAACGCGGTGAAAATAGATTTTCTTAATAATAAATCTAAATACAGTTTAGTAAATTTAACGACAAGACACATTCATACTTACAGTATCAGTAACAGTAATCAATCAGTAACACCCATAACATGTTGTTTAATAATTGATTTTATTACACTGATTATTTGATTCAGTTTAGCTGACTCACATCGTCTCCAAGTCTTTCTCAAACTTTTATTTTAAAAGGTGCTAATAGACACACTGAAGGCACACAGACACTTTAAAAAGTATTTCTGAAAAACTCTCCCCACACACACAAACATGGCACAAGAGCAGTACCACAACAGCTTTACAGATCATATGTATTAAATTGAACTGGAAAACCATGCATAAGGGCTGCAGACAGCACAGAGAGTTACCTAAACTAACATTCTGCACTTTCTTTTTTTTTTTTTTTAAATAAATCTTGCTATATACTTAGCCTTTATTCATGTCTATTTTAGCAAGCCCAGATTTTTTAGGTTGTGTACTTAGCCTGACAATTAAGTTCTAAAGGTACGCTATATTATTTAGTAAAAAGACTCACCGTGACAGTAAAAATCCACAAGATAATCATGTATCACAATATTTTATTTGTGGAAAGAGTACTTTTGACAGGGTGCATTCAGAGTTAAGATGGGAAAATCTGTGGTTAAATGTTTTTTTTGGGGCTAAACCTATTCCGTATGTTTTACTTCATGATTACTCACTTGTTATCATTATCAATAACTCTGCTAAAGTGCAGATGACTCTTTGCTTCCCAGTAACATTTCTTTATGTCTCACTTTAAGAGATATTTTGGTTAGATTTTGGGCAAATTTGTGGGCTCAATTTTTACATGAAGTCAGGCTTCTTTATTTAAAGTCATCCGTTTCCCTGACTTTGTACAGGGAAAATAACGGATCACTACATTTCAGGTAAAAAATGGGAAAAAAAAAAAATCTCTTAAGAACTCACTCTCACTGGATACAAAATTCTCTTACTAGTTTATGGTCATCTCAAAATAGAGGATATTTTTAGTAGATTTCAGTATTTTTATGATCATTACAGCACGAGATTTTCATGCACTATTAAATGTATACGAACATTGTGATTTCAAAAGCAAATTCTTCTGTATTTTCAAAAAATCAGCATAATGAGTTTATTGTTAGATTCTAGTGTAAAATTATGCAGGTTTATGAAGTCACTGGAGATGTATGTGTTCCCACCAGCTGGGCTAATTGACTATTTTTAAGCAATGCAGAATGTTTCTGAGTTTTGATGAAAGACAGGTGTCATTCTTATCCATGAAATACCCAAAACGGTGTTTCCCGAAGCTTAAGGAGGGTTTAAATAAACATTCTAAATAGATTCCCAAATTGCTGCCATACGTTACAGAAACATCTTACAAACTGTTCTACAAGTATCTATGATTATGGATACATCTTACTGAAAATGCATGTAAAAAGCACAACCCCCGTGAGCTTGTTTTATAAAATATAATTGGCTGTTTTGATATTCAGGATTACTCTGTACTACTGAAAGTGCCCATTCCTACAGCTGGTTCATGGATTCCAAACAGTTTTTGCATGCAGCTGCTGCTGAATCAGACCCAGCAGGTTTTACATTTATATCCATTTTTCGGAAAGGACGTTAGACCTCCATCTTTCCTTTATTGCAGTCCCCATTAACAGTTTAAAACTTTCCTAAAAAGCTGAAATTGTGTTGGATCAGAGGCCCTCGGAGTTTGCAGTATGGAAATGACTGCATGTTAATGCTGTCTTAATAAGAAGCTTTATTCAAACCTGCATGCAGTTCTCCATATAGATGATTCTCGGCAGGGGCGGCTCCTATCTGCCTACCATGCAGGGTGACTGGACTGATGCGTATATTCTGAGATGTATGGGATGTAAAGGCGTCCCTGTACGCTGCCTACTGGCTGCCTAAAATACAGCCTACTCTTGTTACAAAGAACCTGCTGTAAACGAGCTCCGTATGTTCCAGAGAAACTGAACGTAGTTCCATCTCTTTCGTGAACAACTTACACTAGGACCTGATGGTCCGTGAAAGCAAATGGAAATCTGTTAATTGTCGTAAGCTTTGCATGAGCCCTTTTAAATGGGCTAAATTTGGAGAATACTTACCGTACCACTCATCAACCCAGGCAAAAGCCTGCCGGTGACCAATCAATAGTATATCTCTGACCACCTGCGAAACAAGGAAAAGGTCAAATACCTCTGCAGCAACGAAACATTTTAGAAAAGTAACACCGTAGTCTTTCAACATGATTTACAGTGAAAAATGTTCTGACAGTTTTGTCTCTAAAAAGACATGCCCCAGAGAGTCGGACATACTGGCTCTGAAGGTGTTGTAGTCCAACCTCCCACTTGAAGTGGACCTGTTGCCAACACTGGACCACATCAGCATGGCTTTGACTAGCATGGGAAGCCATTTGGGATGTGTACAGAACCCATTAATCTTCGGGAAATTAAGACGTTCTGGAACTCTTCTTATACCTTGTTAGTTTTTTAAACATGTGGAAGGTCGATACTCTGAAAAATATTATCATTTGGCTGTTATGCCATTATTCATTCATTAGTTTTTTAGTAGACTGATTGGAAAACTTTCCCACTACCTGTTTGTATGAAATTCTGCACATCAGTGCTACATGTATGGGACTCATGTATACTCACAAATACTTTCGCTCATATATTCATCACAGTACTGAAAATGTTACAGATAGTTTTTCTCAACCTTAGGCCTGAGCAGCTCCAGGCTTTTGTCAAGTTTATACCCAGAGATGAACTCTTTGGCTGCGCTCCAGATCTTTCAGACCTTGAGAGAGGTCTGAAAGCAGATTCGGCTGAGCTCCCTAGCTTCTACACAGCCACAGTTACCTTCCTGTGCAGGGTAGTACTCAAGTTCTGCTTATGTGAAGGATAAGAAGCAGCTCCTGTTTCACTGACCTTGTGTACAAACTGCTCTACTCTGGTTTGAAGTCCCCAGACCTCAAATTTCACAGTCACAAGTTTGTAGGAACACATAATTGGCTGATGGGTCTCTCTCCAGCCTTCTTTTAATTGGCCTCTCCCAGTCTTCTGTGACTTGAAATATTTAGGATCCTGCAAAATGAAGAAAACATGCTGAGAAAGGCAGGAGAGTAAGTCCTGTTTGTCAGTTTGCTAAAGTAAATGTTCTGATAAGACATAAAATATGAAAACATGCTAAAAAACATTATGAAAAAGTAATATAAAATTGACTTAAATAAGCACTAGGACATACTAAAATCAAATCCTGTCTTTTATCCAACAGCCAGTGAATCGATGGCAGCGTATTCTTGCACATGCTTTGACAATCATATCATCTAGGACATTTCCTGCTATAGGAAAATATCTTATTGCAAGTCGTTACAATACAATGCACTGCAAGTGTTATTTATGGCCTTTGGAAAAAAACAAACGTTGCTTCTTCAGAGCTTGCTTTTCCCCTGCTCCCTCGGTGTGATTTACTAGTACTTTCTACCCCTGCCTGTCTTCCTGAAATCATGTCCAGTTTGAGCTTGGAGCTTTGACACATCAACACTGATGTGACCCTGACAACGCCGTTTTCAGTTTTAAGTGGACTCGTATATCCAGGTGGGCAGCAAAGTACGAAACTCCTCCAATTTAGCCATCTCTGGTTACAACTGAGTTACGGTATCTTTGGGCAAAACACTGAATGACTAATTTCAACTCTGTCTCTCTTTCACTAACTGGAAAAATCAAATAAATTGGTGTTGAAATTACAACAGCAAGACCAAAAAACCAGTAAGGACATTGGTTCATCTTTAAGGTTTACTTTTATCCATACAAGATACAGTTTTATCTATCAAAGTGTTATTTTCCATGTTGGTATAATTCCATCTCACTTTATGTCCAATCCTGCTAATTACATCTTGTAAATAGAAATAATTTATGGTTAAAGCTTGATTTTCAAAACTTGAAAAAAAAATGTAGTTTCAGTAAATTCATAGTGGAGCTTCTAAAATCTGTCTTCAGGAATAACCCCTCGTGCTCATCTGCGTTGCCTTTCCCGAAGCTGAGATCTGGGAAGACCTTTTAAACCCATCCTTTGTTACAAAAGCAGTTAAATATGTATTTAAGTACGTGCTTAAATTATGTGCTAAACGGAAGACAATTAGAAGAAAAACTAACAAATTGATAAGACTACTCTGATCTTAATTTTCTTTCATTTATTGTGAGCTTATAGATCATTCAGCGTTCCTTTTTTCTAATGTTTAGTTATCTCCTGACTTGGCTTCCGACTTTATCCATAAACTGAAGCTCTGTCATTAAAGCCTCTTTACAAAGCTCTAATGAGGCGATAAGTCTTCCTTCTCCGTGAAAGTCATTGCTTTTATTGCTGACGTATTCTTTTCTAAATAGAAACTTTAAGCTCGCAGTGTAATAAGGTTCCAGTGTTAAATCACCATAAAAAACAATGCATCATCATCATATATCAGAGCAACATACCACTGTATATCACAACTCATAGTCACATGCTGTTGCCAATCTTCTCGCTCAATAAAGCTTGATCGCAGATTGATCTAGATATTTTCTGGTTGAAAGAGTTGTTTTATAACTGATTATTGCCTGAAGCAATCAATATAAAAATACTAATAAACAGAAAAAAATGAAAAGGGAAGAACTAAGACATAGTATTCAGAGAAGGAAAAAAGGAAAATCAACGGAAAACAGTTTAACGTACGGAAGGGTCTGCTGTTTCCTACATGCACATATGGTGCTAGTGTGATGGAGCCATTGCCTTGATTAAGCACTTCAGATACGCACTTTAATAATACTGAGTATTATGCAGAGATACTTTATATCCCTTCGGCGATAACCAGACCTATAATGGAATAACTTCAACGCAGTCCAAAGGGATTTAATGTAATGAATTGGAGTCAGTATCAAGCATTCAGAATTTATAAATAAAAATTATATAATGAACAGCTACCCTGCATGACTGCTCAGTCATGCATAAAACTTGTGTCTCGTTCAAACTGCAAGAGCCCTCTGGATGCTGTGAAAGCAATGTTTTGCTTTGTTTTGTTTTGTTTTTGTGAAGTTGACCCAGCAGGCAAGGGCGTTCATAGTGGAAATCATTCTTAAATCAGTGGCCCACAAATAATTCACCTACTGCAATGCAATTCATCCATGACATCATTCCTAGTTGCAAATTCCTTTAACAGCGCCCAGAGACGGCACCTTTGCTTCCCTTAATCATGTCCATTTTTCTTGAAGGACATGAAGTTTAGTCACAAATTGTCTGTTTCAAGCAAAGAGCCAGGCAATGACGGACAGCACGGGCAACTTACATCTAACAGCTTTTATGGGAATTCCTGCCTTTCTGAAAACTTTAACATATTGATACTATAAAACTGTGGACTGATGAATGAAAGCCAGGAAACAGAAAGAATTCAGAGGAATAGATTTCCAGACTGCTGTATGAAGGATCAAGATGTTAAAGATTTTACTGAGTGCTTGCTCGGGTGAGCTAAAACTCAAGGATTGCGTATAAGCCGAGTAGTGGGACATAAGATACACAGCAACATTAAGCGAAGTGAACTTGAGAGTTTAACCTCTGGGCCATCTATTCAAAGGGCAGGAGTGTTTTACAGAGGTGAGTCGTTATCATAAGTAAAACTAACATCACTGGGCTTTTTACCCGGATGCTAAAAAATTAGGTCTTTAAAAAGGCCTTGGACTATTTTACAAAGACACAAATTCTGGCTCAGCAATTGTTTGTGCTACGGTTCACACGAGGAAGTATTTAGGGGAAGAATCTCTATATTTATGTCTCTATTTTGCACACATTTACACCTTTCCTAGGCCTCTGCTATTGGCCACAGCCACAGGGCGCATACCACGCCAGAAGGACCTTTGGTGTGACCAGGACTGCTGATCTTTTGCTCTTCAATGTCTGATCCAAAGCCCACTGAAATCAATGAGATCTTTGACATGAAAGCCACAACCCAGAATGATGTTATGTGCTTCAAATTGCCAGATTAAGATTCACAGCCTGGAATCCTTTCCGCAATTAGGCATATAAAGTCCTTCTAAAAAAAAAGTGAAGCAGGGATGATAATTTTCTATTAAATGCAAGTAGAAATAATATTGGTACACAGCACTGCTGCTCCTTCGGACTTTCATGCTGTAGCTCACTGGTTAGGTTAGTCAGGTAAAACAAATTAGACTCATGTGCCATGCTCACATCTCTCCAGGTCCCAGGAGGAAGCGCTGAGCACCTGCCTGTACTGGATCATGGCCATTCGTTACTCCTCCTGCGAAAGGTATGGCAATTTGCAAAACGTATACCAGAGGCACCAGGGTAGAGCAAAGCAGCGTACTCTCTAGGCAGGAATATGTGGCACACATGAGTTTGAAACACTTCTGACAGTGACTGGAAACCGGGCGAGCTGATCTTTGGTCTGACCCCATTTTGTTTATATCATTGATTTTGTCTGTGCCTTATTTTTACTTTTAGCCACCCGTGCCTTCCTTTCTAGAGAGGCCATCATCCAAAGAATACTGCGTCTATTCACTGTTTCCCCCTTAATTTGTCTACTGGCAAAATCCTCAATCTGTTTTAAATGTAATGGCATAGCTAAAATCTTCTTGTTTAAATAACCTTCTCGTCCTTTTATCAGACACAATTTATTAGGAAAGCCCATCTGGCAAATCCTTTTGCTACAGAGGAGCAAAACCTACTCTGTATTTGCAATACATTATTGCCAGGTGCAGAGTGATTTAAAAATAGCACTTCTGCTAACATAGGAGAAACATCATTACCCATGAGCTGGGCTTATTTGAGAATAAAATGTAAAATTACAATAAAATAAAATAAAGTAAAAGCCACAATGTGATGGATGCGGTTTCAAACATAGCACTCTCCCAGTGTTTCTTACTTAGGCCACGTCTGGCGGGTCCTGGCTCAACATGCTTATTGTTGGAGATTCCATTATTTAGCATTTAGCATTTATTTACTTGACCTTCCTCATGGACTGCAGACGTCATGGGCATCAGATGCAGAATTGTAACCCCCTTTCCAGGAGGCAAACACCAACATGTTGACAATACGGCACTGGGTTGTTGCAATGCCTTTTCAGATTTAATTCTGAAATGTAATTTTTTACTTAAAGTTAAACAATGAAATACATTCATCGTTTACAGAAAACTTCCACATCTGAATGGGCATGCTTTCCCTTGGCTTTGCCATGGTATCAGGCACGATGTGAAGATCCCATACTATTCTGCAGCTGACACCACCACCTCCTTGGTCTGTATGCTGGAAGCCTGCATGGAACATCTTGTTCGCCTTGTCACCGATCCGTCTTGAAAATGACTTGCTGCTTGTAAGGCCATTTTAGCATGGGAAAAGATCCCCAGGCTGAACACGTTCTCCAGAGGTGAAAGTGCATTGTATTACGCCATACATCCTATTCTCTTACTGGACGCTACTCAGATGTCCCAGAAACAAAGACTCTTCCTTCCTTTTAATGCACGGATTTGTTTCTTCAGACTCCTATTGCAATATATTCCACCACTGTGCTTTTGAAGTGCAGTCAGGTTTTTTTTTCCCTTTACGCTGACGACCATTTTGTTTGATCTTGAATTTCAGAACCAATCCTTCATGGTTTTAATACATGTGATCTGGCATTTCACCATCAGCTGTAGTTGCTAGGTTTTGGATTTCAGCTTACATAGCTAGGGCTCTGGAAAGATTTGTTGATGTAAAGATGCTACTACAGAGATTCATGTGGAGTCATTATTTAAAGGCTTTTTTTTCTCTTTTTGAATTTCCATTAAAATGTATTTTCTGGAAGAGCCAGCTAAACGCTTCAGAATCGTAAATATTGGGACAGTTCTGAGGTGTTAAAGTATGATAATCCAGCCAGCCTTTACGTAAGCTCCCAACTGAAGTTAGTGAGGAAAAGGGAATTCTCATCTGTTTTTGCTATGCCCTGTACTGAAGTACCGTACCAACACGTTGCACGCATTCACTGTGGGGGCTGAGGCAGCTGTATTACTTCCACTACCACAGTTTTCTGGCTCTGTAATGTGGTAGAGGTTTTGTTGTTCTGAAAGCACCTGGACAGTGGTAAGCTGGACCTATTACAGTGCAGCTGTGTTAAAGTCAAAACCGACAGCAATCGAAGAAGAACACTGCAGCAGCTGCGTGAAATCTCTCTGTTTGGAGGTAACTTTAAAAGTTTATTCCATTTGTCCGACTCTCAGCTGCTTTGTTATAAACAGGAAACGAAACACTGGTCATTCTGAGAACTTGAATACGGTAGCAAAGAACATTTTGCTCAGTAGCTCATGTCTACAGTAAATGTTTCATTTCAGTGAATGATTCACTCGAGGCCCTCACTCTTCAGCGTAGCTCAGTTTTATTCTTTTCTGTAATTCAGATCAATATATGTGTCTATATGGGGAATACATGGTGGCTGGTGATACATATTCATTGATGGTAAAGTCACAAGGAAATGACTTTACAAAATGTACAACTACTCTTACCTGTAGGCTTGTACATCCTCTATAGAGAAATGCAAAATTCTGTATTCAGTGTAATACGGACATTCAGATTTGGAAACATATGTGACTCCTTACAGAAAAACAGGCAAACCTGTTAGTTTGGATCTAGATTTGGAACCTCACATTTAAACTTCTTAAAAGTTTAAGGATTTGTAGGTCCTTGCTTGTGAAAAAAAGCTTTATTTAAGATGTGGCAGCACTGTTAAGTATTCTGGTGGCTACTTCACAACGAAGTTTGTAGATGGCCATTAAGTTAAAATTAAGTCATCTGCTCTGGGATGCCCAGAATTGCTGCAGTTATACCTCCTCCAGCCTTCTACAAGGGCAACTCTTTTGACAGCAGAAATCAGTATACCTCCACGAAGACAGAACTGGACTCTGTGCACGTGTTTGTAATAGCTAACAAAACTGTCTTCCGATTCACTGTTTACTTGGTGATTTAAGTCCTTTTTGTGCATACACTGACAGATAAGCCCTCCATTCGTAAGGGAATTCAAATCACTTGGATGATTTTGGCCAAGAGATCACTCAGTATTATTGGCAGAGGTTCCCTTAAAGCATTCCTCAATGAAACAACAGCTCTCCTTAAGCCTCCAGCTAACTATATTTTTTACTTTTCAATTTTAGTTAATATTTAGAAGGAGAGAAAAAGCAGATGTACACAAAATTGAATTCAATCATTTTACCAACCGTCATGACATTTTCATGGAACGCTTGTCCTTTCTCATCAGAATCAGCACAAGTCAAAATGAGCTATGCAATTCAAATGGAGTATTATACGTACGAAGATGTTTTATACATTTTGACTTTTTATGTGTGAATCATTATTATGTAAGTTCCAATGGAAGGAAGAATATAGATCTGTTTATAAGATTCACGTCAGGGCAACTGAAAAATAATCTTTTAGATCATAGGTGCTAGGAAGAAGAGAACGGTTACTGCACTTGTTTGTACTGAGCCTGATGCCGTGGGTCCCGTGGATACCTCCTGACCCCTCCTGTGGCAACGGCAATATTATTACCTCTATTGACGATATCGGTGCAATGCATACACAACCATATCTTCTGTCTATAGGAATGAGAAAAACAACACTAAACCTGCTATGGTTCGTTCTGTTATAGTCGATGAGTTATTTGACGCGCTAACTCAAAGAAAGGTTGCAGTCAGATTGTAGAAAGGGGCTTTTCATACAGAGGACTCTGAAGAAGATAGGATGTTGACCCAAACAGCTTATGAAGGATAACTGAACACTTTGAAACTAAAAATAACTGAAATCACAAATACCAGCTTAATAGCAACTATGTAATTAGTGCTGGCTGATCACACCAGAAATCACCCTCGACAAGCAGGCTCATAAGCACTAACAAAAAGCAAGCAGCGTAAGTAGTGTGTGAAAGGTTTAAATTATTTAAGCTGCTTCTCTAATACACAGTAATACAACTAAATAATGAAAATTGCAGTTAAAAACTGAAGTATATTTTTAATTGATGAGAGATGCGCTTTTGTCAGGATATGAAAGAAATTTAAAGCTCATTTCTAGAAGACACTAAGTATGCCGACCCTGATACAGAACTTGCTTAATTTTAAGCATGTGAAAGATCCATCGAAATGAAGAGATTACTAACATGCCTGAAGTTAAAATCATCCAGATTGGTCTTTCTGGATGGGAGTCAGAACACTTATCCTGTGGGATCTAATTCTTAAATCCTGAGGAATGTACTTCAATTTTAATCTTTAAACTTAGTATCAATTCAGATTAAATGCTCTAAAAGCAGCCAAATTGTTGTTATTAGTGTAACTAAACTACCTTTCAAAAGCTTACAGTAAATGGTTTTCAGTTGTCTCTGAAACCGTTATTTGGAAAACACAGACCGTTTCTCATTTACATACAGTTACTTTTTTCTGCTGCTCTGATTGAAAACAAACGGAAATCACATTTACAAACATTCAAAGTCTTTTTATAGCCCCTAAATTATGAAAGAGGCCTCATCAGAAATTGGAGTTTGGCTTCATATTAATCATACGGTAGCATAAAAAACCCCATAGTTTGTAAACTTCGGAAGATACTGAATTCAACTATTATTAATTCAATATCAATTACAGCATGTGCACAGTTAAATGCTAAGGTGTTCTTAGTATTTTGTATGAATTCTGAAAGAGAATTTGGTAGCCAACATACAAATCATCCATCAGTACAGAAAAAACAACAGATGCTGGGCTATTTTTGTTGTTTGAAACCATTTAAAATTTTGCTTGGAATCAGGTCTCTAGATTTGTCTTTGAAATAACAACACAAAGACTCTGAAATTCTTTTCTCGCTTAACATGAGGCTGTTTTTCTATTATCGTGAGATTAATCATATGGAAATTATGCTTAATAGTCAGCTATTAAAAATGGGAAGGAAAGCTGAAAAGCTAGACGTTACCGTCACGTTTACAATTTCTGGAAGTGCACACACCGAGATGAAAAATCTTACATGATTTCTTTAAAACACAGTCAAATGCAGCGGTTCATTCCTAAATGGAACCAGAAGACCATGGAGTTCAGGTAAGATGATGGGACCAATAAGCTGTTTCATGAGGTGTTATGTAATTTTTGGTACGTAACAGACGGCTTTTGTTATCTAAGGACACTAATAAAATTACTTTTCGTTCTACTGTAGACCCAATTTTGTTTTATGACCCATACATAAAATTTGAAATAGGATCTATAATTGGAAGATAACAAGTACCTGACTTTTTTAGTCTGAAACTCATGTCTCCTATGGTATAGAAATATATTCATTGGCAAGTCTTCATTTTCTATCCTAAAAATGATTATGTAGTCTCGTTTTGTATAGCCAAACAGCTGCCATACTCATTGCCGGCTATGAATATATTCTTGGCTCCAGAGGCAAATCGTATCTCCAAAATTAAATGCAAGCATAGATCTGATCATTCCTCTCTAGCTACTTCTTGTGAACCATCATTTTTCAAGTCTGAGGTTAAAACATTGAGACCTCCTCTTCACTTGCACGGTGGCCGCTGATTTCAAAACAGTGAATTGCATTGACCTAAAAGAAACATGCTCTTCAGAGATGTGCGCTATCAAATATACATGGGAGCAATTTCCAAGGGAATTTTAAGAGAGTGAGTGTGTCTGCTGCCACTGATGCTCATTGGCAGATTTACCGCAGCACGCAGTACGCTTCAGTCCCTCTTGGTCTTGTGTCATGGTCGCCTCTGAGCAACTGTGCATCAACCCTATTCTCACTGCAGCATATCTGTCCTTGGCCTGGGCTTAGACACTTCGCGTGACTTATTAGTTGGGGCGGGATGCGAATAAGGACAACAGTAATGTTTAAAACTGCTCAGACCTGCAAACAACTGAGCTTCACGATTCAAAGAACAGTCCTTTTCTACCCTGAATGAATTCAGCTGAATATCAAAGGTCTGGTCCAGGATATGTTCTGACAAGGGTATGAAAGCATTTCAAAAGGTTGGAGGAATCATCCGCAAAAGAAAGCGTCAGGCAATCTAGATCGAGAGGTTGCTATCAGCTTCTCCTCCCATCAAAAGCTTTTTAAATACTACCGACCAGCAAGTTTTCATACAAAAATAAAACTGTTTTGATTCTTGTCAAGGCTTCCCTGCAGCCTCTTACATTCCCTTCTTCACCATTTCACAATCAAGTTGTCTCTTACCTCTGATTCTTTGTAATAGCGCTCAGGAATTTCATCGCTGGCAATATCAATAAAGCAAACTTCTCGCTCCAGATCTTTAGCTTCATTATCAAAAATCTGCAAGAGTTAAAGAAATTCAAGACTGTAACAGAACACCACCTTTACAAAATCCACCTGGAATAACGGTTACGAGCCATTCTCAGTGACTTGAATAATGTATTTTAGGGTTGCGCCTGAACAGCTTCTGACGTAAGATACCGAAGTTTTTGCAGGGACACAGTCACATTCTCTCGTGTACCGCTTACATCAAAGGAAAGAAAATGAGTGTTCTCAAGATCATATATAGGCAAGGTGTTCCTAAGCAAGGTTAACAACAGTTTGAACGAATGATGCCACAGACTTTTTGGGGAACAATCCACTACGTCAGATCAAGAGAGAGTGGACGGTTAAATGCAACACGTCGCGTTCAGCACTTAGTGCTCACACCACTGGTCCTCCTCGCACTTTTTGGAACGGAGGCTTCGGTCACAAGTAGTAAAGTCAACAGCTAGGATTGGTTTTACTGTGTTCTCTAATCTTTGAACTAGATTCCATCCTGTGTAAAAAACCTGACTTTCTGGACTCTGGTTGTTTCCAACCTTTTCAGCCCAGGGACAAGAATGGAATGCAGGTGTGTCGTGTGAACTAGTCAGGAAAGTTGCCGTTACACCAAGAATCAAAATGTGGGTTGAACTGCCCTCAGTGGAAGCTGGCAACTTCCACTATCCATTTGTGCACACATAAAGCTTATTTTCATTTTAATCCTTTAGGACCCGGTTTTGAACACCAAGTCTCTTGTTCTACGCAAGGGAAATGATGGGTATATTTTGAAAATGCCCGTAGTATACTTCTGTGCCTGTGTCCATAATTTAATTATTTAGGCATCTTAGCGACCCATGTGATTTACGTTATGTCTGCAATAAATTTCTACTCGTGATTCTGGGACTTGGAAATAGCGACTAGTTAAAAGGCTATCATGAATTAGTGCCATAAAATTCAGGGAAGTTGCGCACACGCTGTCAAGATCAGTAACAAGCTAACGATGTGATTTTTCCTTTGGGGCACAACGTTCTATAGCTAATGTTTCCAAGAAGCATAAATATTTTTGTTTTCTTTTTTAAAATAAATGTAGGGAACGCTCTGTTAATTTAATTTCATTTCACCCTAGAGGAACAGTTAAAAATACAAAATGCCAGCAACTATTTGGTATCAAGAATGCTACTTTATTGTTTCGGAAAGAACTGCGGCTGCCCATGTAAAGCATTCAAAGCGAGCAATGAACTACAATGAACAAGTACACCAGCTGGTGAGAAGACACCGCTCAGGAAATCACAATTCAAATAAATGAAAAGCTGAAGTTTGACCGTACAATTTTAACTTGTCTTGGTAGTTAACAGTACTGGAATAAACCAGGCAACACTGAATGCTTACTGAACTGGATATAAAACGTTAACATGTCTGAAACTGCAGAAGAACAGAACAAAGGGAAACTCCAGTCTGTTTTTATTTGTGTGCTTATTTTCCTTCTCCAATCCATGTTTTGCAAAAAATAATGCTGATTATTTGAACAAATTGGAGCTGAGAGATCCTTCCCCTGCAGTGCTTTTTCTTAGTTATTTTAAAAAATGTACCCCTGTTCTATTATGTTTTATACATATATAATATAGGTTGCTTTTTATAAGGTTCCTTGCTTGCTTTTTTCCTACAATTCAGATATAGAGAGCAGTCCCTTGATGAAATCAGTTGAGCTATTTTTGGAACAAGATGCATTTCACCATAATCTCTGAGCTTTAAATAAAATAATAGCGATTTCTCTTAAATGGATGTTACCAGGTCAGCTGAGGCTCTGAATCGGTACGTGGTTTAAGTACAAGCCTAATAAATTGAAGCACACGCATATCTCTGCACATTTGCAAGGACCTAGATTGGGACTATTACCCAATGTCTCATCTGAAGAAACGTGCCCTGCTCTATCACAGGCTTGATCCACATATTGCACCTCTAAGTAATATAGTTTTAAATTCTTTTTCTCTCTTTAAAATGCTTTCATAGAAGCGGGGATGACAGATGCCTTTGCCAATCTGTCAAAACCAGGAGGAATTTTTCAACCGTTTCAACTACGCCTTATTTGCTGCTTAGGCTATCTCTGACCGTTTCCTCCGTTCCAAAAGTTTGTTGAGTGACATTCTCGCTTCCCTTCGCTGGCAGAAGTTGTCGTCTAATCATTTATGCTTCTCCCCTTCTTAGATTGTCCTCACAAGATTTGCAGATAGAGACTTAATCTTCTCATACTATCAGCAGTAGAAAATAAGAAGTCATTAGAGAACAAGACTGATTTCTTTCTTAGCTCCAATTCTCTTATTGCCTCTCCTAGCCACATAATCTGGGATTGTCTTAAAACCTGTAGGGAGGATGGGTTTATTGTGCTTGTGATCAAAGAGACTAGAGAAATTTAGAAGTTTTAAAGGAAGAGATTAAAGGCCACGAAAAGAAGCATAAGGCTCCCAATCTGTGCAACTGTATTTGCAAATGTGCAGAAAATGAATGGTGAGAACAATCTGTATCCTTAAGAAGATGATGTAGAAAGGCAGAATATTAAATATTATATTGGAAAGAACTGGACCGGCTTTACATTTGGAAGCCAAGTAATTAACTGAGATTGAAACACACAATCAAATGGAAAACAAAGAGTAACATTCAGGCTGAAGTGTCCTTTTTGCTGTGGGTTTTGGGGGTTTTTTTTGGGGGGTGTGACAGCTTTTCTACAACAGACAAACATTTATACACTAAGAGGAATGAAAACTCATCATTATTTAGACAAAAAGTGGAAGAAAGGTTTTAATTGTGTCATCTTTACAATCGTCAATAGTTTCTTTTGGGGAAAATTTTCAAAAAAAGCCTGGCAGATGATTCTAGTACCTCAGGAAAGAAAGGTCATACGGGACACTGCAGAAATATAAGTGCTGGTGTATTTAAATTTCCTTCCTTTGTTTTCCTCATGGCCTACAATGACGTGTCCTAGCACATACTTTGCTGGTAACTTCTCTTCTCCTTGGAGCCAAAGCCAGAACAGAAAGTCAGGTTATGAGACGATGGCAAGTCAACAACAAATTGAGTATCTTTTTTCTACAAGCTCCGTTCCCGTTTTTCTTCTTTTTCTTCTATCTTCAAAGGTGCTGGCTTCAGCCTCATTCAGATGTAGCTAATCGAAAATTTAACCTTTATGGCCAATCACCACAGCTGACCTGGTTTGGATATGAGTAGTATAAAGCCAGACCCAGCTGAATCCATTGATTACATTCACACTGGCAAACTCCTCGCTCATCTGCACTGCCAGGACTCCCGAGGGTCAAATCTGTGCCTGTTTGGCTTGGCTGTGTTCCCTAATATACCATTCACTCTTGTGATGCTTTTTTTTCTATCATCACGAGCGAAGAAGGTACTCAAGGGACTACCAGCTGGAAAGTTGTTCTTCTCTGTCTTTACTGCAAAATGTTTTTCCTACCAGCCTGCGCGGAAGGGGTTTGTGGTCAGAAGGCTGTAATAAGGCAGGTAAATCACATTTTAAACACTAATACGTACAGGACATAAGATTTCCTGTGGAAACAGTTAAATAACAGGTCAACTTAGAAATAAAGGCAAGTTGCTAGAGACAAAAATGATAAGGTAACTTATATAGAAAATTCAATACTGTAAACAAACAAGTTTGAAAATGGATGTGGTTTTTTCTGGAAGCTATTTTTTCCCTCCTTCGTGAGGCTTTAGGTGAGAGAAGATCTCTATGCTTTTCTTACTTGTTATGTTAGATCCAGATAGTCAGCCACTGCTGAGAAATGCAGCTAGCACAGAGAAATGAAACAGATAAGAGCTAAAAGGGTTTTTTTCCAAAAAAGGAGAGCACTCCTAAATTAATTACAGGCAGGTAATACGGTAGCAAACATGATTATGATCCCATGTGCTAAGTAATCAGACACCTGTGCCCACCTACAAACTTAAGCCACAATGACCACATTGTTCAATATACAACACGCAAATGTAATTTATTGAGATGAGAATTTCTACGATAAATCAAATTTCCTCTTCTATTAAATCCTTCTTTGAGTCAATACCTATGCCTGAAAGCGTTGTTCTTCCCTCTCTGCCTCCCCATTTTCCCCGCCCTGCCAACAAAGCCAACAGGCATCCCCCAACAAACTTAAATCTTGACTTTACAGTAGCTGGACATCACAAGATGACATCTTAGTGGGATAGGTAGGTTATGACGTGAATGGCATGACAAAAATATCTTTAAACATTAGAATTTGAAATTAAATTACATTTATCTCTGCCTTTCTCACTATTATATTGATTCATTGTCACTGAGCTTCAAGAAAATGGAAAAAATACAGTATGCAGCTAGAAGAGCCCCTGAGCTTAGATGCATATATGCAAAGTATATGCTCCTTTGTTAATTCAAATGTTAATATTTTAGTGAAGCTTTTGGGTTTTCTCTGTATTTTCTCTCATCCCTGAAATGTAGTCTAACTATGCAACTTGCAGGTATTGAGCAATTTGTCTGATGACGAGCGCTTTCTGTGAGTAGAATACATACGTAGCCATCATTTGTAGGATGGTTTAAATCTATATTTCGTAGTATGTGAAAGTTAGAGGTATAACCGCAGCAAGGACTGCAAGAATAAGCTTTTTCTTTTTTTTTTTTTTTCCTTTTAAAAAAGGGAAAATCCGGCACAAAACCTTCTCTCCAACTTGAAATTCTAATCTCCTTAGATTGCCATCGTCAGAACTACTGGCTAGTCTCCAATTTATTATTACAGCATCCTTTCGCAGGTTGTGTCATCTGATCCACTTGAACTCTCAGTTTTCTGAAGGAAAATTTGGCCTGAAAGAAAAACCCACCTACTCAGAACTTCGTCTATGGAGTTTTATTCAGCGTGTAACTTTTCCGTAAGTCATGTTCCAACCCCAGTTACCCCCAAAGTCTGTTAATTTGCTTTTGAGATTTACTTGGGCAAAGATGCCAGGAAATGACCAATTTCAACCTGTTCACCGGCTAAAACTATTTATGCGGACACACATAA